GACCCCAGACTCATGAGCCTCTATCTTTGTCCCTCTTCTGGCTTGTGGCCATGGGCGTGTGGAGATGCTATTAGGCAGTGTTTGCTCGACTGCTGTTGCGTTCTCTGTTTTAATGGCCGCTGACTTGGTAGGTGGTTAGGGATTTACCTCGGTGAGGGGGCTGCCACGTGACATGAAGATTGGGTCAGAGGTGGGTCTGGTCTCCAAGGGCCAGCAAATGGCTAACAGGTCCCCTCGCCTCTTCTCAGTATGAGACGGCCCTGGAGAGTGAGAACGCCAGCAGCCTTCAGCAGGTGGCCTACCACACCGTGAACCGGCGTTACCGGGAGTTCCTGAACCTGCAGACGAGGCTGGAGGAGAAGCCGGATCTGCGGAAACTCCTGAAAAGTCAGCACCGAAATCTGCTTTCTGTAGAACCCCTTCCCACCCGGCTGCCCGCCCTGCCGCTGCCCCGTGCCCGAGTGTGGCTCCGCGTGGCTGATGTAGTGGGTATACTATGAAGAAGTCGGGATCCCTGGGCGGGTAGAGAGAGCCTGGTGCACTCCAACTTCTCCTTATGCGATGACAGGCCTGCAAATTCTCTCCAAGTCACCCACTGCCCCCCCCCGCCCCCCCACTGCTATCCCAGCCCATTTGTGTCAGCCATTCTCACTGCTGTAGGAGCCCCTTAATGCCAGAGTTGGTGCTGGTCTGTCCCCGGCCCTTGGGATGCTAACATCCTAAAGCAAAGGGGAGCCCTGGGTGAGCTGGGTGGCAAATGTCATTTCAGTTCGGTGGGAAATTCCAACAATTGAAAGCGCTGTTGGCATCCCGGCTTGGGACAAAAGTGAAGCTTATTGTAGAACACAAATTCCATAGTGGCTTGGATTGGACACATTTCATTTTGATAATGTCGGAGCATTGCACTGTTACAGTAAGTAGAAGTACAACATGGTCTTGGCTCTTAATCCACCCTCCTATTCCCTTGACACAGCAGAGTCCTGAGTTTCAAGAGACTCAGGTGAACAGGATTTTGCATGTTTGAGGACAGTCTGGGCCACCCTAAGTCTCGCTGAGTAGTAACTTAGACTGCCACAATCTGTAGGTTTTGTGTGAGGCAATGTTGAGCCCTTTATTAATGATACTAATGCCTCTTTACTTGTCTGCTTTTCCTCTCCAAGATATCAAAGGTCCAAAGAAGCTCTTTCCTGATCTCCCATTTGGAAACATGGACAGTGATAGGGTGGAGGCCCGGAAAAGTCTCCTAGAGTCATTCTTGAAGGTAAGGTGCTCTCTTGAGCCGCCTCCTTGCATAGCTGACCTGCCTGTGAAGTTTCCCCACCATGACCATCCTCTAAGCCTAAGGCTCCTTTTACGTGGGTGGAATTCCACTAAATTTTAAAGCTACTCCTGAATTAGGATGATATGAAAGAGAGGCATAATAAGACTTCTTGCATCAGTGACTGACTGGCTAGATCAGGGCCTGAAACTGGGCTTGCTGAACTCTTATCCTATCTCTGCCAGATGTGTCATGTTTTGGCTCGAAGTGACATCCCCCCCCCCCCAAAAAAAAATCCCAAAAAAACAACAAACACAAAAACAACTTTTAGAAGTGGCCCTCTTTTTTTTTTTTTTTTTTTTTTTCTTCCCTCTGGGCATGCTTCTTCCCCCACTAACTCCAGCTGAGCCAGTTGAGGGATGACTTTATACTACTGTGTTGTGCAGAGCAAGGGAAGAATTCAGGATGGATAGAAAAACAAATGTCCTAATAGCCCTGTGAGCCCATGGAAGAGTCCTCAGGCAAGTGATGGAAGCCCAGGTGTGTAGGGATCTGAAACCCTGGAGACTGTTGCATAGGGACATGATCCTGTACTGGTCTGCAGGGCTCACCAAGTCTCCTCCATCTCGTCTGTCTGGGTGATGTGGGAGAAGGATGTGAGACAGCCTAGTGATGTATCTTCCCTTGCAGCAACTGTGTGCTATTCCTGAGATCGCCAACAGTGAGGAGGTGCAGGAGTTTCTCGCCCTTAACACAGACGCGAGGATCGCATTTGTCAAGAAGCCCTTTGTGGTCTCCAGAATTGACAAGGTACCTCCCTGCCCGGGGGAGTTGCTGTTGACTGATTTTTGTTGGTGTGAACAATCTCCTCCTACTATGTTACACCCTTTGATCTTGGGCTTTTTTCTGTCTTATTTCTCAGTAGTACAACAGTAGCTAGAAGCCCAGTTTTACTATGTGCTACACACATAGCTGGGGAGAGACTGGCCTTACCCCACAGAGCTCAGAATCTCACTAGACAGATGAATGCAGGTGGGAGGAAGGGCATATTGTAAGTCTCAGTTTGAATGCCAGGAAACCAAGGCAGAGGAAATGATGTGCCCAGGATCATGCAGGGAGTCAGTGGCCCTGCTGGGATTCCAGAGTGCACTCCAGGTTCCTGTCTTCTGCCTTAACCCCTGGATCTCCATTATTCTGGGCAAAGTTACGTGTTACACTTACACCATACAAAGGGCACTTAAAACACAAGCATCTGGTGCTTGTATGGTGGAACTGTAATACTGCTTAATGTTGTACAGATCGGGCGTAGTCTAAGTGTAATGGGTCACTTCACCCTGAGTCTGGACAGTCTGTCCGTGACCATAGTTTTCCCACTCCTTCGTGCCATTGCCCAGCACTGTTAATGGGCACAAAGACTGGTGATCTTGGAGGGGGGGGTGTGTCTAGCTGGACTCTTTAGCACCTTGCTGTGCATTGTGCAGTGACCTCTACCATGCTTCTTCTTGGGGCCTGAGCTCTGCAAGAGCCATCCCTTACTGCCATGCACGGTGTAGTACTTGCTCTTTGGTTACAGAGGCTTGAGTTCCACGTCCAGTGTTGTCCATTTCTCTTTGCATCTTTACTCTCCCTTTGCCCCAGAACTGTCCTGTTCAGGGAGATGTAGTCAATGACTGTATCATGAGCCAAGCCCCGTCTTCTTGACTTTGACGGGAGTTAGACCTGGAGCACTGAGGAGTCTCTCATGTGTTACCCCATGCTCTTTGCATCCTTTTGATCCAGAAGCACAGGCAGAATTTGGCTCAGTCATGAGCATTCTCCTCTTCTGTAGGGGTCAACAGGCAGATACTGGCTGCCAGCGTGGGGGTGGGGGAAGCTGGATAGCATCCCATCTGCAGCATGGGGTATCTTCCTCCTTCGTGAGCATTCAAGCACCTTTCTCCACACCTACAGATCATGGTCAATGCCATTGTGGACACCTTGAAGACCGCGTTCCCCAAGTCAGAGCCTCAAAGCCCTACGGAGGACCTCAGTGAAGCTGAAGTGGATGGGAAATCCCAGCCAGATGGGAAGAAGTCGAATAAGTAAGGGCTTTTGCAGGTTTCACCCCAAGTTGGGTGCTGAGCATTGACCCTATAAAGGAGCTGACTGAGATAACCACTGCACTAACTTCCAAGCCTACTGAAGGGTGCTTTGAAATGGTTAGTAAGAAGTAGTTTATGCTGTGATTCCATTATGCTTCACAAGCTGTGTGGGATTAGTGTGGTCAGTGCTTAGATGGGAGACCCTCAAAGAACACCCAGGATTTGTTGACGAGTCAGTGGATGGCACTGCAATGTGGTGCTCTCAGCTCTTGGCAGTGCTGTCTTTGGGAGGAGATGCTAAAGACTGTAAGGGTTGTCTTCTGATCTCAAATAGATACATAACCAGAGCACGTTATGGTGAGCCACCACTGAGGTACACCCACCTCTGGGGTGCAACATGGCTGCTCTTTTAACAGCAATTATGACAAGTAGAAACTCTGCAACATTTTAGGACGGAATCGCAAATCCAGATGAAACCAAAAGAGGTTTTGGGGTGCACATAGAGCATGATTTCAATTCCCCAGCGTGATTTGGCCCAGACTTGCTTGCTGTTTAATTTCTGCTGCAAGTCCTACACAGTGACCAGTTATAAAGTGAATCAACACCGGCAGTGCCCAGCCTGAGGGCTCTGTGTTTTGCTACAAAAGTGTTTAATTTTTTTATATTGCTAAAGGTGACGGGAAGGACTAGGCCACTTAGCAAGCCTTGGCTTAAAGGAGGGGCTGGAGCATGTGTGTGTATTTCCTGGAAAGAGCTGCTTCTCTCCAAAAAGCTGCTCCAAACAATCTTTCTAAAAAAAAACACAGCTTTTGGAGCCTTTTGGCTGAAGAGCACATTCCTCAGCAATGAACAGCCCTCTTAATTTGTCCAAAAAGCCCTTCCAGTGCTCTTTACGTCTGCAAATAACTGGGTTACACAATCCCACTTGGTACTTTTCTTTCACCTCAGGCTTTCGTAAGCGCATGTGAAGTTACCCTACGTGCCCTTGTAAAACTAACCAGCTCGTACTGACCAGAAATCACTGATTTGTGTATCAGCTGAGAGCCACTACCCACATGGGTATAGTAGCCAGTGTGTAAGCAGAGGAGTGTGTGTGTATGCACCCCTGGGGTTTTGATGCTTTTACTCTTAGGATAGCTAAGGCTCAGGGCTTCTGTCCTGTCCTTATCCAAACATCCTGTGGCACTTCTTTGCTGCTCAGCCCAAAGCACAGCTGGTGCCTGTAGTCTTAGTTGATAGGCCTCACAGCCCCCCTTGAAGCAAGCATTGTCATATCCATTTCACTGGGGGAAACTGAGGCATGGAGGGGGGAAATGAGTTTGTTTCTTGTTCCTCTTACAGCAGGATGAACTTTCCACCTCTGCAATAGATGACTGGACTTAATGACCCAGGACATCCTTTCCAGTCATGTGTTCATTATGCCCTTGGCCAAGATTTGGAAACTCATCATATCGGATTTAAGACCAGGGGATTCACCTGGGCTCGCTCTCTCTCTTCCCCAGGCCCCGGCTGAGGTTCCCATCCAGTAAAATTGCTCCGGTGCTGAGTGTGCCTGAGGTGAACGAGCGGGTCCTGTATGCACTGAGGGAAGGCAGTGCTGTAAGTACAGATCTCTGGAGGATGCAGTTTACATAGCCACGGCTTCAGATCTGTAGGGTGCTGATCTCAGCCTTGTTTCATGGCTGCCCTGGAAAGAGCAGATGAATAAGGGCAAGGGATGCCATGGGAACCCTACACAGCACCTTCACTGCCTGCTACAGCTGGATGTGATCATGAGCAGAGTGTGTCTAGTAGTCCTGCCAATGTGAAGCTACTTCTGGTTGCCCATCTGACTGTAACAAAGTCCAGTGCAAGCAACAGAGGGTCTCAAGCAGCCAGGAGAGGAAGGGCTTTCTCAGAGCTACAGAGCAGATCAACCTGAGGCCTGTAGGGTAAGGCAAGTTCTTTGGGGCAGGTGCCCGCCTTTATTATATGCTCTACAGTGCCTAGCACAGTGGGATGCTGGCCACCAGGAGCAACTTCAGTACACATCATCAGCTCGTGAGCAGAAAGATGAACTTCCCAAGTTTTGTGGGAGGCAGAGGCCTGGAATTGCAAGGGTGGCTACAGGTCAGAAGTGAGGTGTATGGGCAGGGCAGGGAGAGTCACTATTTCATTTAAAGGAGAATCAGGTCTTGCAAGATAATACATAGCAATAGCAGCAACTTGCTGTGACCTAGCTGTTGTTCTTCGAGTATTAAGATATCACAGTCTGCTTTGGTATGTGCCATGGGTTGAGTGGGGCTGGGTGAGAGTCGGGCACTTTTTAGGCACCTGCGTGATGGGGGCAGGCTGCTTAGATAACTGGGCAGGTCAGCTCTTTCCATCTGCTGCCTAGCACTGTAGCACTGACATGCTGCTGCTTCCTCAGGTCTCTGACACCCTGTCTGTGGCCGGGATGGAGTCCTTCATTCAGAAGCAGGAGAAGCTCCTGGAGACTATGCCCAGCAAGGCCCCTGAAAACGAGGGAGACAGAGAGACAAAGGAGCCCACTGTGCACAATGCCTCCACATGTGCGCCTCAGCCGCTGGAGCACCAGCATGATGATGACAACCCTGGTAAGCTCTTTTCCCACTCCTTGCTCAGGGCAGGTTTGCCCCTAACTAAACCATCCCACTGAAGTGTCTGTCTAACCTGCTCTTGAAAACCTCCAAGGATGGAGATTTCACAGCCTCTCTCATCTGCTTCAATGTTTAACCCACCTCAGAGTGAGAAAATTCTTCTTAATTTCCAACCGCAGTTTTCCCTGCTGCAATTTGAGACTGTTGCTCCAAGTCCTGTCGCCTCTGGCCAGAGAGATTAGTTTGTCTCCGTATTCTTCATAACTACCCTTCAGATGTTCAAAGACTGACCTCAAATCTCCCCTCAGGTCTAAGACTCCAGTCTCATGCTTCAAGATGATTGCCATAATAGACAGGAGGGAATAGTTCCTTGTACATGACCTTGCGCAACTGCTATTCTGCCTCTCTCTGAACCACTGGTCTCTGCTGAACAGGGTGTGATGGTCTCTCTGTATTGCACTCACTTCAGGCCCTTGATCTATGCATATCCCAATCTTAAAAACCAGTGGAAATTCTGAATGTTCTCTGCACTGGCAACACTGCTGGCCCTAAAAAACTCTTTTAATAGCCTGTCTTCTTGCAACTCCACTCTGTGAGTAGGTATGTGCTGCTTCTCTGCATGAAAGAAAGTATCTGAGAGAAAGAGACAAAAAGCAATAAGGGCTAGTCTAATAGTTCAACTGTGGGAGTTGGGACTCCTGGGTTCTTTCCCGATCTACCTTAAGCAAGTTATTTTGCCTCTCTGTGCCCTCTCCCGCCTCCTTTTATTTTTAAGATGAGGAAATAATACTTCCCTGCTGGGCTGTTAGAGATGTGAGTAACATTTATAAAGTGCTTGAGGGTGCTCTGCTGAAATGTGTTTCCTGGTGACAAGGAGAGAGGCTTTAGATTCAATGTTAAATAAAATGTAAAAAAAAAATAAAGAACTGTCCTCCAAGATTGTTCAAGTTGCAAAGTGAAGCATTCCGAAGTTGGGAAATGGCAAAATAAAGCAACATTTGGGCAGCATCCCCCTCCTGCAACTTTGTGTTGTGGTACAGCTTTTTGAAGCTTTATAACACAGTTGAATTTGCTTTCCAGTAAAATTCATTCAAGTTCACATTCATGCTGTTCTCACCTCCAATTTATGCCAGGCCCCTTCTCCAAAATATATTGAGCTCTTGAGCCTCGCAGTAACCCAGTTGCTAGAATATTTTTAGCTTGCACAAAGTAAGTTCCCTCCAGATCTCTCTCACAACTGACCTGTTTCCAAAAACTGGACCCTTAAGGTAGACATGCATCCTGGAAAATGTCAGGCTAAATGGTTCAAGCGTGGCACTAACATGGTCTCATGATGTGAAGGTGCTGTGATCCTTAAGTACAAGCAGCATTGCCAGCTGTTCCTAAAGCTTTAATACAAATACATAGCGCTCTCAGGCACAGTGTCTGTAGTCAGCAGTGCAGAAGAAGATGGACACAGAAGGTGTCAAGGTAGCCGAATTCTCATGGAAGTCTTACATAAGTGATGCCTCCAGGGCTGCGACAGCTCCCATCAGAGACAGGGCAGTGTGGTCCAGGAGCATAAGGGGAATGACCTGGGATGTGGCTTGCCAAAGGCAACTAGAATCTGCATCTACTGACCAAGTGACCCCTCAACCGTGGAGCAGAGGAAGGCTGG